CGATCTCTGTGCTGCAAGCGAACTAGCGCTTACTTTTTGTCTACGGTAATATGTCACCAGGGGGTTCAGGCCGACAAGAGCATAACCCAATCTGCCATTCTTCTAAAAACCACAGTAGCGCCATGCATAGGCGTCTGGAAGTAAGAGCAACGTTTCCCACGTGGACACTCAATACCTAAGTCTTACGACAATCTTAAGGTGTGAGGTATTAAATAGAAAGAACGGTAACATGGTATAAGAAACTGCTGGATATTCGGAAAGAATTTCGGAATGATCCGAATTCACTATCACTGTTTTGTTGTAATTATTTAAACTACATCTTAAATAACTGATGTTCTATGTTCGTGGAAGGGAAACTAATCAAGTTCCCTAGAACACATGTAAGGTCATTCAACAGAACTCTCATGCGCCTTTTTTATCGTCACGTTATTCAAGTTTCTTCGTCCCTCTGACTGCAAGAATCAACTGTCACTGCTGTTGTAAGGAGGACGGCCGATATGAGACGTTCTTGTCGCTACATGGGCTACTCCCGCCAGTGATGGGTCCCCATTCGCAAACTGCCCGTTTCTTAGAACCTCACGCCAGAGCTCGTGCTATTAGTGGCTCATTACTACTTCCAAGCCTCAAAAGACGATAACTGATACCCGTTTTCGATTATTTCGCAACTTTAAACTTGTTTGCCGTTGATCTTCCAACGACAATGTCAATTTTTTATCACCTACCGAAAATAAATTCTGTCATAGACAAAAGTTGATTTACAGCAAAATATATTCGCTGTCCCTATTTGAACATGCGCCATAACGTTTCACATTAGGAAAGATAAAATTCGCAGGGCTTCGTACCTTGTTCCAAAGCAACTTCAGGAAGATATGTGGCAGCTTTCTTGGATCCCTTCTCTGAGCTAAACTCTATGCGAATACCATGTATGCCGATCTACACAATGAATTAGAAAAAGTCGTGCATTATAAATAACTTCTTGCTTCCCAATCCAGGTAGTTTTCGGCCACCTCGAAATTCATCAGCAAAGAAACGGAGCAGTGCAGTCTGGAAAACTCGTCGGGATTGATCGGTTCGAAGCGACTGTCTTTGCACGCACTAAAACCCAAATATTAAAGACCAACGAAAAACTACCAACGTCAGATTGCGTAAATGACAACCATCAAAGTACGAACCTCGTGATAGCATACTCCCTGAGTCCTTGATGAAGGTTAGTGTTATTGAAAGTTCCGATACAACCGCGTAGTTTCTTCTCGCGGCCCAATTTCCATGTTACGAAGAGCGGACTGAAAGGCAATAAGTCAGCCATCTGCGGAAGCAAACCATATGAATAACAGCAGTAAATTAAAACTCATTCTTAAATTAGTATTGGTAATCAACATTTAGTTCGAACTGTAACAAGTCAAAATATACCAAGAATGTTTATCGACCAATATAAACTAGATAGCTGACTTTGTCTTAACTTTGTTAGTTCATAAAGGATCGAAAACTGTGGATACGATCACGAGGAACTATCTGGCAAGGTGACTACTCAATTTTGCAACTGTACTTCAAGAAGCGAAAAACACTAAGGTTACAAAAAATAATGAACAGTTTTCCAAGCTGCTTAATATGGAATTTTTCTAAGAACCACTGCCCTCGCTCTAGCCCACATCCGTACTTCATCACTGCAGACCTGTTAAATTGCACAAAAACGGTAAATCAGTGAAAAATATCTCCCCAATTATGCAATTCATCAACTTTTCACGTAGGCAGAGAGTTACATTTAATCTTATTACTACTTCTCAAGTCAGGAAAACAAAAAGTTGCTGCACTGCCGTTTTTAAGTGAACTCAATATATCTACTGCTACAAACTTTAGTCATTGCTACCCTGCTATTGTCGCCTGCATGATAACATCGATACAGAAATATTCTATGGATTCTCCTAAATCTGTTACAATATACTTTTGATAACAGGAAGGCAGGAGCTTCTTTACTGACGGGCGTAATTGCGGGTAAGCTAGCAGATATTTCCAGGATAAAACAACAATGGCTGTTTCAACTTCAACGGGATCACTGATAGCAGAAATATGACTTAGAAATTTCTTTCTTTTCAGCGCGCGACAATACCATCAAACTGCCGCAGTTCAGAGGTACAGCGAGACATCTTTCTCATCTTCAACAGCAGCTGTAACGTCAAAACTTTTCTGCCTTCGATCGGAATAGATTGAACTTACAATAAATAGGCACAGACGAAGACCCAATCGAGAAGTACATTTTAAGTGAATGTTAAACAGCGCTGTTTCACTTCACGTTTTTCGTAAGAAATAACATTCAAACAGATTCAGCCAAAATCGGCAGCACCATCCGTAAGAGGCATCACCGTGTTACGCGAGCGTTATGCAAAATGAATGATCCTCAATAATCGAAAGTTAGTTCTTGCTCGACCGACCGACTGAAGACACGGGGTACGGATAATGATCAGGGGTGAAGCTCTCGATCAGACTCGGGGTTTCTTCTGCCAAAGTTCAGACGCTGACGCAGGACTGGAGACACGGTGTGATGCTGCTGTCTCCGTTAACCAAAAAAGGTCATCGAAGATGACTGACGTTGCGACCAAATTATCATCGATCATTATCAGGAAATGAATCTTTCCTTGATGATGAGTGATATCAGTTTGTCGGATCTGTATTAGATAACGAGTATTTTTTAGCTGCTTATTCGTGCTGCTCACCAAGAAAATAGAAAACAAATCTGCTTCTGGTTATTTAGCGCACAGAACTGAGATTAATTATTAGCACAGTTATTTACCATACTATTCATTTATTAGCTAGATGCATTGCTTGTTCCAATTTCTATGTCCATATACGTAGGCGAAATTGGATACATGGGGTGTTAAACTCTCTTGGGTCAAAGACTTCTTCGCTTTTCGCCCAATCATCTGTGCTCCTCTGGAATGTTTGGTGCAAACAGTTATGCGTTAACGAGTATTTGAACGCTGAAAACGATCTCGATCTTCCATTGTCAACTGCTTGAAAAGGTAACGGTAGTTTCATTCACAAATGTTTCTTTGTTTTCTTACGATCGTTTGATTTATAAACACTTTGATTATGCTACTGATCTGAATGCGGAACAACTATACTTCTTAGGGCTCTGTTTAAGATATGGTCAACTTCAAAGCTCTCCATATATTCACTTCAAAACGTTTTGGAAGCAACTGCAAAAACAGGTCTTCCGTACGTAGAGATTTAGAAGGACTATCTAAATACATTCAATCTTTTGAAGTGTCCATATTATCTTTAATGTAATAGGTGCCTTTTTGTGCAATGGTTTCCAGAGCATCAAAGCAATTAAATTAGTTTACAATATTTTATAAATCTGTATTTATTATGAAGCTAAACGATTAAATATAGAATAACGAAGTGTGCAACAACAATAATTGCGAAGCAAAATCAGCAACAATTTTATATCTCAAGGTGGCAAGCCACCAGTAGGATGAGTCACAGCTTATGCAATTATCCCCTTTCGGTTGTATAGCTGCCTTCACATAGCATCGGCACACCATAGTTATTTGGCTAGGAGTGACAGTAGAGAAAAGAATGGAGGTTAAACAAAGTGTATCACAAGAAACTACAAATTATGAGATTACTTGCTGAGTATTCGTCTTATCTATTGAACTCCTTCATGGCGCTGTGTGAATTCACCTCTGTCCATTCAGAACTGTTTAAATCGGTAGCGGTCGTAACTCCTAATGTAAGGTTATGGAAATTTTCCACAACTATGCAAAGCCATCTTAACTTCCATTTAAGAAATCCGAGCTGTAATGACGATCAATAAAATAAAAAGCGGTTCATTACGCTGGACAGCGGCAAACGAAGAATCTACTATAACGGGTCAGAACGAAACAGCCCAGCAGGGTCCCTACATCTGTGCTCGCGCGTACACAAAACTCACGTAACAAAGGACGCAACCGGGATATCGGTCCCTTTACATTTTCATGGTTGGGGGCGATCTGTGATGCCATTCATTCGATGAAGCTGAAATTGCAGCGTTGATTACCGTTTCTGTGCCATCAGTCGGGAACGCCTTATTTTAAATGCAGAATCTACAGCAAGTATACCGCGTAGTCTGAACAGTGGCAATATCGCAACAATGTCACTTTTAACGTCCTGGCACTATAAACCGAGTCTACGAAATAACAGCTTTCACTTTTTGCCAACGCCGGTCGTAGCCAAGCCATTTACTGTCAAACGATAAATCGAATAAATTGTAATTATTCATACGCAGTATAGGCGGTGCGTCGTAGGTTATATTCAGTGCGTCGCCATGCGCGGCAAACGTGGATGTACATCGGATGTCGGAACCAGCTATACACAGCCGTTCCTATGACGTAGTCAGATGAGACTACTAAGCATCAGCAGAGTTGACAGCAGCCAGGTGACAAGCACAATGAGTTGTCTTCTCTTTCCTTCTCACAAAGTAGCACTAATTTATCAATCAAGAAAGGAAGAAAGGCAAGTGAGCCTTACCAAACCTCGAACCCACGGCCGCTAAGTTCTGAGACCGATCTACCGATTGATCAACTCCGATCTAGACGAGTCCTTGAAGAGCGGCCCACAAGAGAGGGCTTCATGTCTTGCCGTTACACAGAAACCTAGCAAGGAAAACAAAGCACGAAACTAACCGCAGTGAACAGCGCGCAGCTTTTTTCATCCGCCAAGTGGTGCAAAGGCTAAATTTGAAAAACTTAAAGTTCACATGGAGCGGAATCATCTGCAAATGAACAAGCGAAACCGCTACGCCTCACCGACAATGATATGAAGTGAATAACATGAAAGTACGAAATGGATCATACCGCAGAAATGAAAAATCATTTTCGGCAGAAACATACCGACATTACACATCCACCTTATCCACCGACCATCTGCTAGAAGACTGGCACATTTCTGGAACATCTGAATAACATTACTTAAAAAATGCAACATGCGACGCAGGATGACAGCAAATGATCATTTCTCTACTGTGCTGTAAGTTAAACCGCTTCAGGACGGTGCCAAATCAATAATAATTTTTGCACACGAAGCCACATCATTATCCTTAAATTCATTCTTCTCTTCCGGCTTTTCCGCCTGCTAAATCATTTCGTTGCGAACCTTGCTCTGGATTCAGCAACGACGGTGCATATCCTGAATCCGTATTTCGGTACGGTTTCTTCTTAACGCATTTTCTTTAACAGGGGTCTGCTGCAAGAATCGATCTCTCGCGCATTCTCGCATATCTGATCAAATCTGCGACCATTTCGAGAAGCTTCAAGTTGTCTTCCATGCTATAAATGCGTTGGTCATTCCATTCTCCTCCCGTAGTTTTAGTTTGAAAGCACTGTCTACGCACTAAGATAAAACCAACAGTGCTTCCATTTAATCAGCATTCTAATTATCAGATCTGCAGTTAGTGCATCGCCAATAATAAGCTGAATTCGTCACACACTATCACCAGTCAGGCATCTACGGAGGCCAGCCGATGTTCATGTCTCGTCGATCTACTCCAACGTTCAGCTTTCTACAACAGTAGGTTTCGTAACCGTCCGTTACGCCTTTACCTTGTCGAGCACTGTCCCGTTAAAGAGCATTCCACTCATCCTTCTTCGACAATTAAAAAGTAAAAGTCTTTTCGAAAGACTTAATTCGCTTTCGGTTTTACTTGTATAACTGAGAGAAGATACAAGATAATCCTTCATTTCAGTGCATCATATAAGTTCTTCGTTCTGCAGCTTGTCTCACATTGACACTCCTAGCATCCTTCTTATTAAGTTTTTTCCTTTTTTGTCCATCCCCAGGTCTAGCAGCCATATAGAGTTGCTGGCAGTAGTGTACTTCTATACAACATGATTCCAACCGCATCCATAATGTTCTGCTATCATAAATATCAGTGCTTCTTTAATGTGTTCCACGCGCTAGTAAACTTTGTAACGAAGGAATGACTTGACACGATCGAGTATTAAGTAGAAGTACTCAATGACTCCGTTTGTAATTCACAGACGCAGACGACCACAGCAGATAGTTACAGAAATTTGTTTCTCGTTATTTTCACCGTAGGCGATTGCGCATGGGTAAGAGGCAGGTTTTGAACGTCAAGGTTCGATCCCAACAATTTTGTAAACTACCAATCCTGCTGAGCAAAAAATCCATTCCATTTTGCTTGGTGCAAGGAGAATAGAAGCAGTTAGTACAACACCGATTTATAGACAAGTCAGCATGGTGTTCCAATGCGGCCATCGTAAAATGTGCGAGACATTCTGCCCCACTGTCTGAAGAGAGCCTTAACGCTGC